GAGTAGAAAGCCCAGTCTTTATCCCAAAGAACTGCTGGTGGTTTCAAACTGCTGACCATGCGGATCACAGTGCAATTCATAACCACTACACCACCAGGGATCCTGGTGTTTAGGCTCGAGCCTCTTAATATAGGAAGTAAAAAACCAAAACAGGGAAAAAAAATCCTTTGAGCCTTTCAATACATTGGACTAAGGTCGAGACGATGCACATATTTTGTTGAGATCTGCAAAAGGAAATGAGCGATTATTGGAAAGAGGGAGAACGAGGCAGACACAGTCCCCAGCCCCTCTACCTCAGAGACCTGGGAGACCAAGTAAAACCGATCCGGATGATCATCCTGGAGCCCCGAGCTTCAGAGGAGAGGACAGAAAAGTGGGTCGGTCACACACTGACCAGGAGAAGCAGCTAAACAAAAGTAGCCAGAGAGGAAACAGATGGGACCGTTGAATTGCTAACTGGCCTGACACAGCACAGCTATTTTGAGTGTTTGAAAGTAGCATTTGATCAAAGCAGCAACCGGATCATAGACTCTGCTCACCCGGGTCAACACAAGCACCCACACTGGGTGGGTGTAACCAGAAAGGTGCCATCCTCCTTTCATTCCCCACGTCTTCTTAGTGGCCAGCCCCCACCCTGCCCCACTCAGTGGCCAGTGACACCCCCTCCCACACACAGTAGCTCCCTGGCCTGAGGTCAGAGACGTGCCCGTGTGGATCAGCACCAGTTGCACACCACATGTGGAAGTACGTGCTCTTCGCCTGCACAGAGCAGCAGAACATGCAGTGCCAAACGGGCTCCCTGACCCCAGCCACCGGAGCAGGCCAGATCTCATACGTGGGACAGTGCCCTGTTGCTATTCGAAATGGTTTCAGTGGCTAATGCCTCGGAAGTGGATAGCCTACTTTTATTCATCGTCTCTTCTTGGACTGGAAGTTCCACGGAAACTCCTTGACCTTGGGTGACCCTGCTGGTATTTGACATACCGGTGGCCTAGCTTCCAGCACCACAGTCACACCGAGGCTACAGCAGTATGACAGACTGACAGACGAGTGGTAGAGAAACTATATGAAACAGCAAGGAGAAATCCAAAACACTCCTAGTAAAATTTGAGAGATAGATACTGCGTGGAAGAGGCAAATAAGTGGAATTGAATCAGTGGAAGAGAGAATTAGCAAATTAGACAAATATTAAGCTACCAGAGGAACGATGGGGAAAAAAGAATGGGATGGTGGGGGGATAATGAGGGACCCCATCAAGAGAAATATCTTAAACGTGATCAGAATTCCAAACAGAACGAGAAGCACAGAGAAACGTGTTGATCAGTTATTAGAAGAAAGCTTTCGGCACATCATGAAAGATACGATATGCATTCAAGAAGCTAAATGACCCCCACCACATAATCATAACTAAACTTTTCAAAACCAGAAACAAGGGGAAAATCGGAAATGCAACTCAGGAGAAAGGGAAACCACAAAGGAGAGCCACTAAGACTAAGCTCTGGCTTCTCAGCAGAAGCCATGTAGACAAGAAGGCAATGGGGGTGACACATATAAAACTCAGAGAAAAACAACCAACTGGGAATAAGGATCAACGTCATTCCAGGCAGGCCAGTGTAGTTGGGTCACACCTCCCAGGGAAATGGGGTCTGTAGCTCCTCCAGCTTTGGGGTCCTCTGTCTCAAGGTAGAGCACTCCTTACTGTAAGAGGCCTTGAAGAATCTCAAAATGTGATTCAGAAGAAAAGTAACTCCTTGAGTCAGATTTCCTGGGTTCCCCTCTTATGTACCTCTATTCCTGAACTTTTCCGTGCCTTAGTTTCCTCATCTAGAAATGAGCATAGTAGCAGCACTATGCAGCAAATGGGTGAACACTCAGGAACCTTCCCTAAATGTGAGCTGTGGACACCACTGTAGACGTCTTCTCGTTCTCTCCCACGTGGTGTTGATCTTAGACCAGGTGATGTTGTTTTATCCTCACCACCTCTGCTCCATTTTCTCTGAAGCCCTGACCAGACCACGCAGGACACTGCATCCTGTGCTAGTCTGGGATGACTAAAGAAACAAATTCAGAAACACTCATAGATGTGAGAGAGAGAGCTTGATATCAAAGAGTGTATCGAGAACATCCCAGCCCAGTCCAGATCAAGTCTATATGCCCGATACTAGTCTATAAATCCCTCTTCAGACTCACGCAGCACATGCAGTGATGCCGAATGTAAGAAGATCACAGGCCGGTGGGTGAGAAGTCTTGTGGATCCAGTAGCAGTGAAAATATCTCAGGGCTCTGGCACAAGTCTCCATGTGGCTCTTCCGCAGGAAGATGAAGCAGAGAGACTATGTGTCCCACCTCCAAGGAGAGAGAGAAGAAGGTCCCAGAATCCTCAGGAGAAGGCCACTCCCACACAGAGGCATCATTGGCTGTGACCTAATTGACAGGCTAGACTCCACCCCTTCCCTTGTAATTACCCACCCCCCAGTTGACACGAGATGACTATCTACCACCCAGTCTCTGTGACCGAGGAGGAGGTGCTATGTGTGCAAAGTGTGGTGCTCAGCCTTGTGAGATGCAGTGGGCACAGTCTTACAAATGGCACAGCTACCACCTCATTTTCAAAGCAGATGTTAAGGCAGTGTGGGTCTAGGGACTTAAGAGTTAGAGCTGGGAAGGCCCTTGCGTTCTGAGCCCACCCTCCACCCCATTTACAGCAGGGCAAGGACTGGCCTGCTCTCCTTCTGCTTGGAACCCAGAGTGGGCCCCGAGTACACAAAGGCTCATGCTTGTCTCCATCCGTGACCAGTATGGGCCTGTCCGGATCCTTTCCCAGATCCTTGTGGGTGGACATGGGACACCAGGCGACACTCTTTCCTGGGGCAGGTATCCTGGTAGGACTGACCATCTCTGGCCCTCCCTAGCCAAAGTGGGCAGTGACCTGGGCTGGGCCATTTGAGTCCCTCAGTCTCGAGGAGGGTGGGGGGACTGGTTGGAGCAAGGGGCTTGACCTGTCCAGTCTCCACAGTCACCCTATTCCTGTGATCCTCCAGCTGCTGTCTCTCTGGGAGCTGCTTGTTAGACTGCCAATAAATTCCCTATTGTGTAAGCTGGCCAGATTGGTTTCTATTAAGTTAGTTTCCAAGAAGAGCGGATAAGAAAACAGCTTTATAGAGAAGAGTCCTTTGACTAGAAAACAGAACAGACCCATTCTTACGTCAGCCTGGTATAAGCTGTGGGGCCTCCGTGGGCCTGAATGCCTTCCTTTAGGGCAGCGGTTCTCAACCTGTGGGTCTCAACCTTTGGGGGTCAAATGACCCTTTCACAGGGGTCGCCGGATTCATAACAGTAGCAAAATGACAGTGATGAAGTAGCAACGAAAATAATTTTATGTTGGGGGTCACCACCACATGAGGAATTGTTTTAAAGGGTCACGGCATTAGGAAGGTTGAGAACCACTGCTCTAGGGGACAGTGGTGGGTTTTGACTGTCAGAGCCACCTAGCAGGTTGTAGGAGACCAGGTGAGATGACTGGGGCTGGTGCCAGGAGTACCAGGGAGAGGGCAGCAGCCAACACTGAACCTGTTGGTGCCTGCAGACAGAGCTACAGGCTGAGCTGCAGCGGAAGATGGAGGAGAATGAGCACCTGCGGCTGGAGCTGCAGATGGTGGAGACGGAGCGAGTGCGGCTCTCCCTGCTGGAGGAGAAGCTGGTGGACACGCTACAGCTCCTGCAGAGGCTCCGGGCCCTGGTACACTCCCCGGAGGGATCTGGGCACTCGGGGGTGGGGATGGAGCCCTGCGGAGGCACGGGCCACAGGCTCCCCTCACAGGAGACAGGTGTCACCTCCCGAATACAGATACAGAAGTAGAGGCTCAGAGACGCTAGCTAAAAGCAAGGGAGGGTTGGGGATGAAGGGACAACCCAGCTCCTTTTATGAAGCTCCTCTACCGTGGACCTCAACTTTACCATGGCTGCAAGGATTGCACGAGTTCATCGATGTAAGCAGTCTCTTCCTGATGGCTGGTTCTCAAATGCCGAGATGGGACTTGATGAACATGTGAGGGAGGCAGGGAGGGATCTCGCATACTCTGCAGTCACCACAGGAGTCCCTGGGGGGTCCAGCAAGCAGCCTAGGTGTGGGGACCAGGAAGGGGCAATGGGGGGGTGGACAGGGCCCCCCTGGATGACACTGGGGCAGCTTCATCTGATCCAGCCCATGTTCATCTCTTTCTTTTTAAGAACATCTCGAAGAGAGCCTTGGGGAAGATTCTGCTGAGCACCCTGGACACGTGCAGGGAGCACACACAAGGTAGGAGAGCCTGCAACCAACACCAACGTGGTGCCGGAAAGAGGGAGGGAGAGGGACGGTGCCACCTCCCCTCTTGGGAAAGTTAAAAGCAGGGGGCACAACTCCTAGCCAGAAACCAAAGCAGCCAGGCCCAGCACGCGTGGGCAGGAGTGCCCAGCCAGCAGGGTGCAGACTTGCCTCTTTCCCGGGCTTCCTACAGGCCAGCACTCTCTGGAGAGGGTGGGGACCCCAGCTCCCCAGTACTCTCCAGGCAACTGTGCCCCCGGTGACCGGTGACCGTATGTGTCCGGACAGAACTGTGCCCCACGGGGTTTCCGATGGGTGATTGTTCAGAAGTCATCAGGCTTCTCTTCTGCGGAGCCCCTGGGTGCACTGGAGCCCCCAACCTTTCCACTAGCAGCCAGCACTCCAGGTGCTTGCCATCATGTTTGCTCACTCAGCAAGCCAAGAAGGAAGATACTAGGATCACCTCGTTCCACAGGAGGAGGCCCAGGCCCAGAGGGGCCCCATGCTGGGCTCTAGCACACCCCAAGACCAGGGCTCTAGCTAGAGCATCTTCCTTAAGCACCAGAGCTCAGGACAAGAGTCCCATCAGCACCAACCTGTGTCCCATGAAGCCAAGATAATCAAGGCCAAGGTGCTGCTTCCAGGGGCCCCGGGACTGAGGGGGACTGACAGTGGTAGAGCCATTGCTCACGGGGTCTTCAGTCTCCTCTGGGCAGGGCTGAGGGCCCTCATCAGCGAGGTGCGTCCAGTGCCCCACATAGGGCCTGGGTTGAGGAGGAGATCCAGAAGTATGTGGTGGGAGAGCCCTTCCCCAGGTCCTCAGTGGGAAAGGGACAGAGGGATGGGTGGAAATAGAGGCCTCGGAGGACGCTCGGTAGGGCTAGGTGGCACCAGGCTGTTCTAGAAGGAGGGAGAGTGAGTCTGGCGGGGTGAGTAGAGCTGGGTGCTGCAGGCTCACCCTGAGTCTCCTCGCTCTTTCCTTCCAGAGGGGAGAACCGGGCCGTTGGCCACCCTGGATGCCCTGCACCAAGCCCTGGCAGGCTGCAAGCTCTTACACACACAGTCTTCAGCTCCTGTCTCCACATCACCTGCCCTCACCAACTCTCTTCTCATCTCCTGCTGAGCACCAGCCGGGGGCTTTACCGTGCTTCCCCTGGCCAGCTGGCCACTATTGGAGCAACACCAGTTTGGCTGGCCACCAATCAGACCATCAGCCAAGCTATCAACAAGCATCTGGCCCACCACAGCGTCCACACTGCATTGTGATCCTCTACAGGCAGCCCAACTTCCACCATGCCAGGTTTATAAGCATGGGCCCGCTAGGGGCCCTCACTGTGACCACGGAGGCCAAGAGGCACCGGAACGTTCTAAGACTGGCCAGAGCCCAACACCTCCCACCTCAGAGACTGGCATGTCCACCCCCTAGGACACCTCCTGCCCCTGTGTGTCTGCTACCAGGGTCCACAGGAAATCTGGCAGAGGCTGAATCAGCCTGTCCCTGGGGCTGTTTCCCCTTCCCCTTGGAGCAGAGACACCTCCTGTCCTGCCCAGCCCAGCCCCACGGAGCCCAACGTCCCTCCCATGGCATCCCAGAGTCCCCTCATTTTCTTGTCTTTTTTTTAAATACTTTGATTGAGGGCTCTTACATCTCTTATCACAATCCACACATTCCTCCAGGGTGTCAAGCACATTTGCACATATGCCGCCATCATCACTTTCAAAGCATTCTCTTCCCACTTGAGCCCCTGATATCAGCTCCCCATTTCTTCCTCCTCCCTCCCCCGCCTGCCCTCCCTCACAAACCCTTGATAAGTTATAGATTATTTTTTCCATATCTTACATCCTCCGTTGTCCCCTCACCCACTTTTCCGTTATATGTCCCCCTGGGAGGGGATTCTAGATTGATCCTTGTGATCGATTCCCACTTTCTCCCTCCAACCTCCCCTAATCCTCCTGGTATCTCTACTGTTGGCCCTGAGGGGTTTATCTATCCTGGATTCCCTGTGTTGCAGACTCTTATCTGTAGCAGTGTGCATGCTCTGGTCTAATCCGATTTGTAAGATAGAATTGAGGTCATGATAGTGGGGGGAAGGAAGCACCAAAGAACTAGA